TATATATATATATAATGCATTCTTTATTTCCACCAATTTTTAAAAGTATCGAACGAAATTCAATATCGATTCTGATCGATTATTTTGAGCAAAATATCCATGATTTTAAAAAAATAAAAATTTTTCGAATAAATCCATCGTTAAAGAAGACGGTATTGTACTTCGATACTTGGTTAAACACCTTGCTATCTATCTATCTCTATCTATTTCATCATCTATTTATATCTCGGTTGTATTCCGTTAATTAAATCGAGGAGAGACTGTTGAGATAAGAAATGGGAATTTTTGTCATGGAAACAGCTATTTCCGAATCGTGGAATCTCGCTTCCGTGTTAAAATCGAGATATGACAGTCGAACTTATTTTAATTTCAATTTTTACTACATAGAAGAAGATTTAATATCTATATGGTACTTGAGTAATAAAATTACGAATGATTCCAAATACGGTTCCATAGAAGGTTAAATTGTTTTTATACAATCATCAGTCTCTGATTAATAGGAGAGGGAGGAAAAATTGATTGTTCCATGATTTCGTCCAAACAACCAATTAATATAATTATGACGATAAATTTAAATTTAATTGGCTCCTCATTCTGGAGAATCTCCATATATATATATATATATATTCGAAATAATAATAATAATATTAATAAACCGACCACTATTGTCAAAATATTTCGATGCAATAATTCGTTATATGAAAAAGAAAAGAAACCTTTATACTCGATACACGCTACAGGAAACGCGTGTTTCGTATGATAAAAAAAATTTTCTCTACACGATATCCTAACATTTGATACGGGTTTGCCTCGGTTTGACCTTTCACTCTCTTGTAGGATTAATGCATCTTATCGTTCGAAACGAGGTCTCCATGAGTAAAAAGGAGCTGAGAATAAATGCAGAATTTAATTATCAGCTCTCTCTCTCTGTTCCTTTTCCAGTTGAAACTCGCGCCCAGTCGAAGTCGCTTCAAATGGACTCGCAACATCTGGTGTGGCGAGCGTGTTTTCCACAGCAATCTTTTTATCGTTCCTACCTCCCTGTAGTGAGTATCCACGCTCGAGTGCAGATATAAATTGGCCGAAACGTTGATACAATCGACTGCCTATTTCTACACGTCTACGTCAATCGCGCGTTTTATCAGTCCTATCGTCGATATCATGATTACGCGCAAACAGTTTTTTCTCAACACGCGTGATCTCGTTACAATTGCCGCTTGATTTTTTCCTTACGTTCAAAAACACTTCATTCGTTCACGTAACATCGTTCGATAATCATCAATTCGAAAATTGCACGTATATTATAAAATTGAAATTTTCATTAATTTTAACCTAAAAAGTTTTCATTAAAATAACAACGAGAAATATTTTATTGTAACTGGAAGTTTAAACATATAATATAAAACTAACTACATTAACTACGAGTATATCTACAAAAAAGACGAAACTTCGAGACTCGTTTCATTTTTTGTCCGCAGAAAGACCGTAGAAAATGACAGCGAATGAGAAAGAGAACTCGAGCATTCGAGAAGAAATTTATAATGTATTTTTCCAATACGAAATTACTCGTTTCACTGGATTCAAATATCCATATACGATAAGAAATGCTTCAGAAAATATCCGATAAATTGTTAAAATACTAATTATCAACTCGAGAAGTAACATCATAACCTGTACCTTACGAACCCTCTGCATTCCATGGGTTAAACACATGTACAAAGTCTCACCATGTCAATCCTTCTCACCCTGAACAAGTTTTACAACGAACTTGAACGTTTCTCGTCTCCGCCTACCCATTCCTTCCGCACGCGATACCGATTCGATGTAATTTCAATGTCCGCGGTGACTTAATTACCCGACACTTTCGTCCACAGGCACGCGAGCGCCATCTCTCTCTCTCTTTCTCCACATAGTGTCACGTGACTCTGTTCGGAAACTTATTCTTAGCCGGTGTTTTTTCCACGCGATGAAAAGGAGCTCGGTGCGTGTCTGCGACGAGAAACGCGTGTTTCACAAGATTCTCAAGCGAAACGTGAGCGAAATTCGCTCCACGAAATATATAACCGCGAATCCATCACGGAGCCCTCGTTAGGAGGTAGCGAGACGCGTCTTCCGCGAACCGAAACTTAAACGAGATTATCGCTCTGCTCTCGACAGCCGCGCGTGAATAATTCGACGCAGACGGCGACGGAGCGTGGCTGGGAAGCGTGACTTCGAACAGACACGTATGGATTTCTCGTGGCTTCTATTACCGTGGATTCCAAGCTAATTCGTGGCAGGGCCGAACGCTAATCCGTCTTGAGTTCGGGCAACAGGAGTAATAATCGTCCGGCACGCCTAGCACGACGCCTCGATCAATCTGAGCCTACGATAACCGCGTATATCTCATCCGTGAAAACGTTACAAAACATATTGCAAATGCGGGCGGATACATCTGCTTTTCTATTTCGAAATGGAGCTAATAAACCGTTTAATGATCGCGTTTATAAATACATAGTGGTCGTAAGTCTTCCGATTAGCCATGGAACGTGCCATTTGGACTAATTTATTCGTTCCGTAATATTTATTTTGTCAAATGCAATATGACAATTTTTTTATGCTTTGATATCTTGATTGCAATTTTACAATTCTCTTTCATCCAAGATATTCGAATCCCCATCAACTCGTCAAAATATTCCCACAAACGATAATAATTTATTTAAATAATATACCATGAATAATTCATCGTTTGTTGTGTAAACGCTGTTAATTGCCTTCGAACAATTAACCCGGCGACCTTCTTGCATGGAAAGAGAAGGAAATAAGGAAGGAAGGAAGGAAGGAAAGAAAGAAAAAAAAAAATTAAAAAACCAGTCCAGTGATAAATATTTAAGGAGAGCTACTCACCAAAGGAGGGTAGAACGCGGAGCTGTCCATTCCAATGCTAGGATAGGGTCCTTGGTCAGTGGTGGAGGGTGTCGGCGTGGGATACGACGAGTAGGAGGTCGCGGTCGGTGCTAGCCTTGGATACGCTCCCAAAGCTAGCCTTGCCGCGCTGTCGTACTGACAACTGCACACAGATTGGC